AATGGGTAACTAGCCAGATGAAACCTGAAGTCATGAGCGCTTCCGTCAGCATGGCGTTACCTCCACCACGTGCTTCGGCAGCCTGGTCCAGAGGGATGACGGATTACAAAGTATGATCCCGCTAGTAGTAGACTACTACTGTGGTCCTGGGTGCGGTGAACCGTGGGCATGAGGGCGAGCGTAAGGGTGGCAGTTGTGGGACCCAATGGGGCCTCTAGTCTTTCCATGCCGATCACTCGCGAGCAGATCCCTCCACTAGGGCGGCGCGACCTGCCTAGTTTCATCTTCTAGGCCCGGTCTTGGCTGGCAAAGAGACAAGGCCTCAGTCTAGCTGGATTAACAGACCGAGCAGAGTATGCTGACTGCCGTTGACTGGCGCGTGGGCATAGTTTAGGATTGAACGCTCTGCTGTACGTCAGTATGACGCGTCTAGAGCACTACGGTAAACCGTTCACGGGGTTCAAAGGAGGGGGGGGGGAAGGAACTCTCCTAGGATTGCAGTGGCCACATAAGGTGTATGCAAGTTACAAGAATCAGATTACGTGTCAGGCTCGGTGAGCGATCGTATCGTACCGTGCACCTGGCGTCGCTCCTTTAGGTTGGGCCGCAGACGAGTCATTAGGACCGTCCTGCTCCTCTAACACTTATGTGCTGCCGGAGTGGATACAAGGGAGCGATGAGCCTGCTACGCGTAATATCGCGCGGACTGAGGTTCACGAACGACGGTCCACGTGATAATGCTCTGGACATAGTCAAGGGAGGGGTCACTCGCAAACGTGGTCAGTGGACAAGCTTGATCCTGTCACGATGCCTCGATAGGAGAGAACGCAGTTGCCTCACCGACATGCATACCTCATCATTACTCGCCATTCCCTGTGCTCGTCGACAGGTTCGCGGCATAAGTGCTGATCTGGCTAAAGCGTGTCCCGACACGATGGCATACGTTCAAACTGAAGATAGGGTCCGTCATTCATGAGCTGACCCAGAGAAGTTGAGTAGCTAGTCACTCAGCTGAATGATCTCCTTTTAGCTATATGACTAGTAGAAGAAGCCTGTATTTTTCAGTGCTCACGTGTCCTTATGGGGAGACTTTTCGAGTAGTGTCTTCACGTACAGCCGAGACTCTCGCCTAGCCTGTGAGGATCTTGTGACTGGATGGCGCCTTGGCTCGGGGCTACAGCACCGTATGCACGGTTGACATTGATAGCGTAGGCACTGTGCCTGAGTGACGTTAGCTGCGCATATGGGGAGCTCAGCGGATCTTTATCTCAGCTATCATGCAGACGACTGTGGCCGCCGATAAGAGTCAATCAGATGACGAGATTGAGAATTAAAGCAGACATGTTACTTTAGGTGAAGCTGTAATCAGCATTGATCGAGACTCGGGTTTCAATGGGTTCATGTAGAAGGCTTTAGCCTAGACCGTGAACTGCCAAGCAGGATGCAATAGATTGTAGATAGGTTAACCTGCCGAGAGCTAGCTGCTACAACGTCGCGCACTATGGAGGTCAGGTGTACGTTATAACGCAAGCCTGCTGGGATTAGCTAGTAGGCAGCAGTCTGACATGTATCGCTTGTGCACAGGCGCCATGTCCGACCCAGATGTCTACAAATGCTCACTGCGCTTCTCTAATGAGCTAAGGCTGCAACAAATTATGTCGACAGTGCTGGTGATGAGGTGACCTATAGGCGTTAAGCTGCTCATCAGTAAGTGAGCCTAGCAGTAATGTGAGGGTGTCAAATGAAGGCTCTATTGTACCCATTAACGCTTCAACTACTTAGTCAGGGCACGTCTCTCGAGCAAGCAAGGGTTTCTCGGAACGCAGGGCTGCTTCCTTTAGATAGAGAGTATCGTAGCATGGGACTGGCTACGACTCTTGACCTCGCATCGAGACGACGTTTCTAGACTCGGGGCGCAGATGTCTTCTTTGTTTTAGTTCTCGTGGCTACCGATTGTTAGGAACTCCATACAAAAAAAAGGCTTGGGGATTCAAGGATTTCATACGGGTTCGACGAACCTGCGTGCGGGGCGGCTCGGACGCGAGGCTCCCTGATGCCCTTTTCGCGCAGGTGCCCATAGTGTAGCGACTTGTAGGGTCAGGTTAGTGGGTCTGTCTGCATGTCCCTGGTGCTTGACTAGCTAGCTCACTAAAACATTGCACCCGGCTAGCGTTCAGAGGTCTACTTATCTCGTCATAGCAATGGCTCTCATCACAGGTCTATAGCCTCTATGGTTACCTCGGGACTATAGGGTGGGGGGGGGGGGGGGGGGGTGGGCTAGTGTTGATGCAACGTAAATTATGGGCCATTCTCCATTATTTTGTTGTCTTAGTAGTATGATGATTTAAAGAATCTTGCTGGTTATGATTGCGTACTTACTTTCACTTTGCCTTCATTCTGGCCTACGATGTCTCTGCCCTGCGGGTCCTACATAGAGTCATTTCATACTCTACAGTGGGCTAAGGTGAGAGGGCCTCATGAGGGGGGAGTCTTGTAGCCATCTGCCCGAGTTGCCGTTCTTCTGGCTCTTAGCATCAGCCGGACTGCTGGGCCCTGCATGCGAAATGCGATGCCCAGTTAAGGGTCCTCGCTAACCGCCAGCCCCGTATTTGGGCAAGACTGCAGGGCTGTCCGCTAGTCTGACTTGCGTAAAGCTATCGAAGCCTCCGTCCATCAATCATGGAAGGCAATTTGGATGCCTGCGGCCCTGATTCGCAACCTCCGTGTCTTCAATTTCCAAAAGATTAAGCGTGACGACATGACTGGAGAGTTCCTAATGGTACACGTAGTAGATGGCTCTTGCGATCCGATACAGCACACATCTGTAAGGGACCAGCAACCCCGTATATGGGCCACCTGATGGCAATGTGTGACAGGGTAGCGTAGCATCGTCCGTTTCGTTATGATGAGCGTACCATCGCGAGAACTTAAGCGTACAGTCAATGCTTACCCATGATGGTCATAGTAGGGCTTCACAGATACTAGTGAATTCGCACTTCGGGCAAACGGTCTAATCGGGGCACTCTTGGAGCACTGCGTTTAATGACTGCTGCACGTATGAAACAGTTACGCAGGCAATGAGCGTACTGGCATCATTATGACTTATTGATTTCAACAGTTGACGTACATGCGAATAGTGCGCATACTCTGGCGAGTAGCTATCGAAGTGATATTAAAGAAATCGTACATAACCTGCCTACTATCAGCGGGCTGGTCACCGGCGTACAGCTGGTGGTACAGAGAGCAGCACTAAGTAAAATCGGTCAAATGAAAGCGCACGGACTTAGGCAAGGGCATCCAATGGTGCTCTAGTCTCAGCAGGCGAAGGCTGAGAATTGACATCTGCTGAGGACTCCCTTAATATTTAGGAGTCATTGCTGGAGAAGGCAATTGCGGATGAATATTGATGGCCTCGATATTGTCATACGGAAATATCTAGGGGCTACTGAGGCAATGCGTTCCCAGGTGCTACTAGTACACGTGCTCGTGGTAAGAGCTACGCAGTAAGTGAATTCGATTTTCACAGGGTTTCTTCTTCTGAGGTAGTAACAAGAGCACGTAGCCAGCAGTATTAGCTAAATATCTTTAGTCGTCACAAAAGCTACGCAGGTAGCACGTATTCGCTGTTCATCGATGATAGCCACCCCATCCTCGATTGTCCTTAGAAGACTCCATAAGCTGGCTTGCCGAGGGTTCAGATACAGATGCAACTCTGGCGCCTCTGATTCGCGATATGGCCTCATTCCGAAGGAGTGGCGTCCGGGCAATCGAACCCCATATCTCCTGGTAATCCCATTAAGGACTACCGTCTGACTACTACTGCTCTGCGTAATCGCGTGCAGTCCATCACGGGCGACATGCAGCGTGGAAACAGATCGTTGGTTGGGATTAGCGCCTGTGTCGCTATTTGGCAATGGTGCAGCATCACTAGTAACACCTTCAGACCTCATAATACCGATCGCGCCGACAGCGTCGAAATTCAGCTACGCATGCCTGCTAATTGGCTCGGTAGATAGGGATCTGTGGGTGCAGTCCAGGCGGAGAGTAACAGCCAGCGCCCAGTTGGCTTCAGCCATGTCCCGACGAATCAGCTCTAGCGCATGGTCGGCACGCCGAAATCGCCACTCCAAAGCGTCCTTTTCTAGGACATGTCTCGCGCTAGTAACCACGTGGTAGATAGGATTCAGAATGAAGGTCATATGTACGAAGCAGCGTGAGACTGCTCCTGTCATCTGTACTGCAGTCCTTCACATCCGACTCCATGCACACATCTTGATCGGGCGTAAAGTACTCCACATTCTTACGATGGCCTGGACGACATTTGCTCAGTAATGCTAGCTACGGATTACAGTCGACATGACGTCACGGATCGAATCCCAGCCTTATGTCATGTGCACAGTTAGCATAGAGCAGGCAGGGGGGCCGAAAGCATACGCACTGCATATAGAGATAGGAAGTTGTAGGTTCACAGACGCTGGCTACCCGGCCCATATAACGTTTATCTACGAGTAGACTCGGTGGCCCTTCATAAGCAGGGAGCTAGAGGCCAACAGAGAGGTCACGAGGGCACTACGACACTAGACACGCTAGGAGGATATACATCCCATCAGACTCCAGAAGGCTAAGTGCGCACCCTAGCGAGTGCGCGTGACTCGTTGCACGCGAGGTCACCATTCCAATGTGCGGCATGGGGAACAGGCCCCGTACTCCACTGTCGCTTAAGTTTCAACGCACATACGTGCAGGCTGCAATACTCTATGCATTGCGCCTTCTATCTTCCTTCAATTGGACACTATAAGCGTTAGTAGTGTAATACTGAGAGGCAGGTGCTGGGCTGTATCTGTCCTCGCTACCAGTCACTTGCCATAATCCGGGGGAATCTTCACCTTCTGGGTCGGCTGATGATCGCTGAGTAGCCGAGCTGGAGCTTATATGGACTGGTGTCGTGTGGACTTCGTGCATGGAGACCCGCCCATGCTAGATCACATGCTGAGGACACAATGTCCGCACATGTGGCTTCGTGCTCTCGACAGCGGGCCGATTGGGGCTCTGTGGCGGCTGTAGCTACTGCCCAGGGCCTGGTAGGGGTACGCATCCTCGGTGTCTCAGGTCTCGTAAAACCTGACGAAATCACCCATTACTGGGAGGTTAGCGAGGAGCGCTTGTGACCAATAGAGTAGCATAGGATGCGTCTGCCTGCTGCTCTGGGCATCAGGCGCTTCTTTTAGTGGCGTCCCAACTTTGAATAACTGTGACTTTTCCACTCTGTGACAAGCCAGACAAGCCCTCCCATACATGTGGTTCCTTAATGCTGTCGCTGTAGACTTGTGGAAGATGTAGATTCGCTTCCTCTATTCTTGACATGACTGGAGTTTACTCTGGTTGCCCAGTGCCTCGCAGACCAAAGATGGTCTAGTGGCATTAGATTATAGCTCACTACGCAACCATCCTGTCTCCTGCGAGCTCCTTAGCAAAGATATGAAGGGATAATCTCCGAGTCTACGCCCGAATGGCACGCCTGCGGTCCTGAGAGAGGCTGGACTGTACGCTGAGTACTCTCTCCTTGTTCAAATACATGCTTTGTCTTACGGGACAGAAGAGCAGGCCAGAAGGAGTTGGCTGCGTGAATCTTTGTGTTGATTATACGTTTGTTAGTAGAGTATCAGAGGGAGTTCCTAGCGATTTCTATCAGGCTATGATAACTATAGCATGGCCCTCCTGCGCAACTCCTGTGACGCGGGGGATGCGCCGACTGCCTCGTCTGATGGAGGGGTGGGCTCAACTTCGTGCCAGTGGTGACCTGCTCACCTAGAGTGACGTGGGACCTCATTGGATGCAGATCGTGGTCACTCGTCCTGTCTCAGAACCTCTGGCGCACTGGGACCTCGGCCTACCAAATGTATTCGTGCTAAAAATTTGTGCGCAGCTACATAGGTGGGATACACGGACTGTAATAATAGTGTGAGGCTCTAAGAGACACGGGGGTGCTCAGGGCCCAGCATCAAGCCTTCCAGGATGGCCTGAGCAGAAGAGCACTGGGGGCCGCGTTTGCCAAATGGTGGGAAGCCCAGGCAGCTGCAGCCGGGGCACAAGAGCAACGTGGGGCACAGGCTTCCCTTGCCCACTGGAGAAACTGCTTGCAGCAAGGCCAGGAATATGGGCAGCTGAAGAAGGGCCTTTGCAGCAATGCCAGTGGCCCTGGGCATGCACCATGAGGCCCAGCAGCAGGCAGGAGGGAGTGCTTGGGCCCAGGCGACCTGGTGCTGGACTCTGTGGGTGCGCGAGTCCTGTCGGGGCCAGGTCAGCCGAGCCCATGCTTCCCGGAAGCCGGGAGCCTGGTGAGTGCCTATGGTCTAAGGGCAGCCCCACTCTGTGCTTCCAGCTCAGGCCTCCAGCCTGTTTTTTGCAGCTATAGAGCGTAATTTGTGCCAGGGTGGCAGGGCTGAGGCTCAAGAGGGTGGTTGGGGGTGACAGGGGCTGTCCTGGCCATCTAGTCCTGGGTCACATCCTGGCATCGCTACTTCCTGTGTGTCCCCTCCTTGGGGCAGTCTCTAATGATCCTGCCTTGCAGTCACCAGCACAGCCAGCTATAAATGCGCTCTTGCCAGGGAAGGGGCTGCAAAGCCGCACTGGCAGGGCTGTCCCCTCTCTGCCCCTAAACAGGATGATGCTTGTCACTGTCTGTGATTTTCTCTTTCCAGGCTGTTCTCCATCCTGTTTACACAGACTCGCCCTCCAGAAGAGGGAGTGGGAGGTGGGTGGGCCCCGGCTCCGGGCTTGGCCTGGAGGGCCCCTCCCGCAGGGCACGGGGAGGGCTTCCTGCAGAGCTTCCGAGAGACCCGGCCCTGACCGCCCAGGCAGCAGACTCCTCCCTCTCCCGCAGGGTCCTAGAGGCCTCTTTGCAATTAGCAGCGCGCATAGCTGTACAGCGAGCCATCCTCACCCAGCTCCGGCAGGCCGGGCTCGGGGGCTTCCTGCGGACCGCGAAGCTCAGGGTGCGGCTGGGATTGCAGGCTGAGGCCCCAGGGGCCGGTAAGGTCCGCCCCAGGCTGACCTCACGCTCTGGCCCCGGATGGCCAGCAGGGGGCGCCTGCTGCTGGATGCTCCAGCCCCTTGGAAGAAGGTGAGGGGAGCCCAGGCGGGACGGGAGGTCTAAAAACGATCCTCGGACTATTGGATCTTAGAATCGGCTTGATTGAGCCCGTGGTGGCGGCATGGCTGGATGCCTCCCCAGGGCCCCGGTAGCCCCGTACACACCTCCTCTCCCCAGTTCTCGGTCAGCCTCTGACAAGCAACTCTGAATCCAGTAGCAAAGCTGAACCCAGCGCCTTCTGAGCGCCAGCCCACTGCAGTTCTGACCAGCGTGTTGGATCACAGCCTGTTAGGCGGACACTGAAATGCACGTTTCTCAAGGTGCAGTCGAGGATCAGGATAGGTACACAAGGATGGTCGCAAAGTTTTTGCCAAGATTTTTTATTTTTGAGACAGAATCTGGCTCAGTTGACCAGGCTGAAGCAGTGGCTCACAGCATCTCGGCTCACTGCAACCTCTGCCTCGTGGGTTGAAGCAATTCTCCCGCCTCAGCCTCCTGAGTAGCTGGGACTACAGGTGCGCACCACCATGCCCGGCTAATTTTTATATTTTTAGTAGACGGGGTTACACCATGTTGTCTAAGCTGGTCTCAAACTCCTGACCTCAAGCGATCCTCCCACCTGGACCTCCCAAAGTGCTGGGATTACAGGTGTGAGCCACTGCACCTGGCCAAGTTTTTTTTTTTTTTGAGACGGAGTTTCCCTCTTGTTACCTAGGCTGGAGTGCAATGGCCCGATCTCGGCTCACGGCAACCTCCGCCTCCTGGGTTCAGGCAATTCTCCTGCCTCAGCCTCCTGAGTAACTGGGATTACAGGCACGCGCCACCATGCCCAGCTAATTTTTTTGTATTTTTAGTAGAGACGGGGTTTCACCATGTTGACCAGAATGGTCTCGATCTCTTGACCTTGTGATCCACCCGCCTCGGCCTCCCAAAGTGCTGGGATTACAGGCTTAAGCCACCGCGCCCGGCAAGTTTTTTTTTTTTTTTTTTTTTCTTATTAGAAAAATGAAATATGCTCATTACAGAAAAATCAGAAAATATAAAGTAGAAAAATATCAAAATTTCTTTCCCAATTCTCTCTACCCAAAGGCATCCGTCAGTCTCTCTCCAGACCAGAAGAAATTAGTTCTGACACCAACAAATGGTTATCAGAGGTTGATGGCCTAGCAAGAGAGAAGAGGCCACCACAAAAGCCAAGCACAAAAAATGACCCTGCACAGACATCTGGGGACATGTCCTTGAAAGGCACAGCCCAGAGATACTGGCAGGTGAGGTAGTGTCCCTAAGATCGTCATGAATCTTATTTCAGAATGCCACAAAGAATACATTTTAGAAAAGATTCCAAGAAAAAAAGCTAAAGTGGTGTTTTGTTTTGTTTTGTTTTGTTTTGTTTTTTGGTCATTTTTTGTTTTCAGTCTCTCACTGTCTCCAAGGCCAGAGTGCAGTGGTGCAATCACAGCTCACTGCAGCCTCAACCTCCAGGGCTCAAGGGATCCTCCCACCTCAGTGTCCTGAGTAGCTGAGACTACAGGGGTGTGTCACCACACCCAGCTAATTTTTTTCTTTTTTTGTAGAAGTGGGGTCTCACTATGTTGCCAAGGCTGGTCTTGAACTCCTGGGCTCAAGCAATCTGCTCATCCTGGCCTTCTCAAGTGTTGGGCAGGCCCATACCGCCATGAGCCATCATGCTTGCTGGTTTCTGTTTTTTAAGTGGAATTGAAAGGGAGTAGCCTTGGCGAGTTGCAGAATTCACACATATGCAGCAAAGGCAACAGCAGATTCTGGGCTCTTAGGGTATTTTCTTTCTAGATAAGTTACAGGGCAAATGCTTTTCCAAGTACTTTTATACTTTTATTCCATTCTTGTCAGTAAAGACAAGAATCTCATATTGATGGAGAAACTGAGGCTTCTGAAAACTAAAAGCTGGGAATGGCACCTGGGGTGCTTAATTCCAGGACCCCTCTTTTCTGCCACAAGCACACATGCCCCAACAGCCCCCTTGGAGAGCCCCTTCTCTGTAGAGAGTACTAGCTGGGGGCTCTGGAGTCAGATCACTTCTGAGGGGTAAGGCCTCAGATAAGTAACTCAGCTTTGAACAGTCTTAAGTGAGGAGAGAAACACTCACCTCCCGGGCGGTACTCCAGGGACCGAGGGGCAGCTATTATGGTCCCACCCCACTGTTTAATGTCTTCAGCCACACGGGGGAATGGGTGGAAGAAGAGGCAGGATGTTTTCTGCCAGCCAGAGCAGCAAAGAAGTCCCAGTGGGGCCGTAGGAGGTCCAAGCCCATGGGGTTCAGGTGTTCCTCTCTGGCTGTTCCTTCAGACCCGCAGCTGCTGGACACAGGCCACAGAGCCAGTGCCGCCTGGGCCATCACTGCAGTGCAGCCTGGGTGGACAGAGGAAGCCAAGGAGAATGGCCTGGGCTCTAAGGAGACCTTGTCCCCGGGGACAAACGGTGTCTGAAGTGCAGGGATGAAGCGGTGGGATGGACGGTGTTAAGCACAGGGGTGAAGCAGTGGGATGGACAGTGTCTGAAGCGCAGGGGTGAAGCGGTGGGATGGACGGTGTTAAGCACAGGGGTGAAGCAGTGGGATGGACAGTGTCTGAAGCGCAGGGGTGAAGCGGTGGGATGGACGGTGTTAAGCACAGGGGTGAAGCAGTGGGACGGACGATGTCTGAAGCACGGGGTGAAGGGGTGGGACAGACGGTGTCTGAAGCGCAGGGGTGAAGCGGTGGGATGGACGGTGTCTGAAGCGCAGGGGTGAAGCAGTGGGATGGACGGTGTCTGAAGCGCAGGGGTGAAGCGGTGCAATGGACGGTGTCTGAAGCACAGGGACAAAGTGGTTGGTCTCCAGCCCTCAAGGGCCTGGAAATCAGCTCCTTGGGACACAGTCTTCGTATATCGACTGTTTTCCTCATCCATTCCCTCTTGGGAATGTTTCAGCTGTTCTGAGAAAACACTTCACGTTCCTGCCCCGCCCCCATGATTTCCCTCCAGCCCAGGGCAGCTGGAGGCCTGGGGAGATACGGGGCAGGGCATGAGGCTGAGCTCAGCGCCTCCTCCGCCCTGTACTCAACTCCTAGGCTGGCACCGAGGGCAGTGGCCTTCCTAGACGCACAGTAACCTCTTCTGACTCAACTCCCCTTTCCAGGGTGCAGACAGTGTCCCCTCTGCCCTGCCATCCAGCTCTGGCAGAGTAGCTCAGTCCCAGACCTGCCCCTGTGGACCAGGGACCAGGGACCAAGATGGCACCCCAGCCCTGAGCCCTGCTCCCTCAAAGCCCAAGGCGAGGCCCATAAAAGGAGGCTGGGGTGACAGGAGCTGTGTGTGTGTGCAGTTTGGGGGGGTCTGAGGGTTGGGGGCAGGGGCCAAGGGGCTCGCCTGAGCCAGGGCTGGAGCTGGGCCCTCTGGTCAGTGCTCATTTCTGCAGGATCCCGGAGGAGTGGCCCAGGCGCAGGGCTCTGCCCTTCTTCTGGCCCTGAAGGATCACAATGCTCTTGGCCTTCAGGAGGAAGTACCTGTGGCACTGGTACCTTGAGGCACTGCTTTGTGGGCTGCAGGGTTCCCAGCAGGTCAGGTGCCTGGCAGTGGGATGGCAGCACTGGGTAGATGGCCAAGGGGCAGAGCAGCTGGCACGGACCCTGGTGAGCAGGTGCTGCCCCTCTCCACACTTACCATCTCCCTTTTCACCTCATACTCAGCCCTCATCCCTAGAGACAGTCTCTCAAAGTATGGCCCTTTGACCTACTGACTCCTAAACCCCATGTGAATACTCCTCAGATGACACCCCCTTGTCACAGCCTTTAACTGTGGGACCACAGAGGTGCAGGAGGAGAAAGGCAGAAGGGCTAGGGATTGTGGGGGAGCATGGGCACAAGAGGCCTTCTCCACCAACTGTCCCCACAGCTCAGGGAGTGGCACCTGAGATGGGCCCGGCAGACGTGGCAGCAGCGGATCCTGCGACTGGGAGGGGCTTAGCAGTTATAGCGGCAAGAAGATGGCTGGGTCCTTTCCCAGGTACTGCCTTCTTCTCTCCACTCCACCCAGCCAGCCCTCCCAAAAGCCTGTGCCCCCGACACGCACTGCAGAGCTGGGTTTCCCTGTTTGCCAGCCCCAGGGCTCCTTCACTTCCAGGGGAGGGGTCAGTTCCATGACAAAACACACAGGCTGAATGCTGGAGCCCTTGATTTGACTTGTGGCCCCAGCTCAGGCCCGGTCCCTCAGTTTGGGAAGAAGGCTTGGCATGAGGCACAGCTGCCACCCACACTGGCCCGTGGAGGGCCTTGGTCCCGAGCGCCCCCTCCCTCCTTTGCTCCACTCTGAGCACAGCTTCACACTCCAACAGGCACAGCGCAGATCCTGGGGGAGCCCAAAACAACAGCACTTGCTCCCCTCCCCAGTTCCAGGCCTTTGAAAAGTGGCACCAGCACCTGGCAGCCAGGAGCCCAAGGAGAGGACGTGCCAGTAGCTGGAGACCCTGGAGCAAGCCAGGCCCTAATGCCCTAAGAGCAGACAGGAAGCTGCTGGAGCCCCGTGGGTCGGGGGCTTGGGCAGAGCCCAGGGCCCAGCTGCAGTTGTGACTTGTTCCCATAGAATAAAAAGCAGAACTGAACCCAGCCCTCTCTCTCTCCTAGCCAGGGAGTCCCCCAACTGCGCCCACCCCCTGTGCCATCAGGCTGCTCTGGGCCACCCCACTCCACCCTGCATGCTGGGATCCAAGACAGGGAACAGCCCATCTGCACCTGGCAGTTACTGCCCGCAAGCTATGCGGCTTGCAGGACTCCTGGGGAGCTGTGCCAGGCAGAGAGCCTCTGGGACAGGACGAGGGGACGACAAGGACAGCTGGCAGGAAGGGGGCCTACCTGAAAAATCAGTCAGGAAGCTGGGCTGCTGCACAGCCCCAGGCAGGTCCAGGGCCCCTGTGCTGGAGAGTCTCATCCTGGCCTTTGATAGCGAACGGGGCAGCATTAGGCCTCCACAGCCACGGAGAACGGGAAGGCCACGACCCCCACCGAGCACAAAGGTTCAGACTGCCTTCAACCCTTACCGGGCACTTTTTCTCTCAAGGCTCAGAATAGACAACTGTGCCAAAAAGCAGCACGGTAGGAAGGGGAGGAACCCAGCTGTGCTCTTAGAATGCAGCAAGTAATGTGTGCGTCGTTAGGTGTCAGCCCAACGCCCATTCAGGGGGCTGGTGCCAGAGATGGCTAAGCAGGCAGGCAGGGCAGTGGTGTGCCCCTCCAGTCACAAGTAGGTGGGGCCCAGCTGCCCACCTCTAGGAGGTCGAAGTAGGCGGCACTTTGCCACATCTCCTCTAAGATGCTACCAATACCCGGTGCCCGTGTATGTTCTGCCTGCGTTGTGCGGCCCCAAGTGTAAGTTCACTGGGAGTCCCAGGCTGGCTCTGGAGGCTGCCTTGGTTCGAGGGCTTGACTGGCAACAACCACTCTCCTCCCCTTCTCAGGGGGTGCCACCCACCATGGTCCTCTGCAGGATGGAAGTGCTCCCACCAAAAGCACACAGACTCCCAACTAGAGCAGGGAGTACCAGGTTCCGATGTGAGGCCGACTCCGGTCCAGCCAGAGCCTGGAAGCCTCACTCCAGTCCAGCTGCCGTCGTCAGGTGGGGGAGTGGAGGCCAGGTGTGGGGGAGACATGCAGGGGCGTGGGTTCCCAAGAGAAGCAGCCTGTAAAGGAGGCAGGTGGGACAGGAGTGGCTCCAGCACAGGGCGTCAGGACGCAGGGTCACAGAGCCTCCGCCTCCCTCTCATTCTGGGTGGGCCTATTGAGAAGCTCCAGCGTGTCTTCCACCACCTGCCACAGGCAGTTGTCCAGTGGGAAGTCATTGTCCACCAGGTTGACCAGGAAGTAGTTGTCATGGATGTACTGGATGATCGCACGGGATGGAGACGACTCCTCATACAGCTTGCCCCATTGCTCGATCCACAGGGCGAAGGCCTCGTCCTACACATACACACACACACACACACACACACACACACACACACACACACACGTGAGATTAACAGGGCTGCCTCTGCATAGCCTCCATGCTAGGCTCTCCAAGGACTCAACAGGACATTTCCCGGAATAAAGCAAGGCCCACTGCCAGTATCACTTCCCACCCCTGCCCAGAAATAAACACCATGGGTCAGCAGTAACACGGGTGAGTGAGTCAGAGCTGGGTGTGCCTGAAGGCTGGGTCCACTCGCCCCGGGTGGGGCCTTCAGCATACCTCGGGACTTGGCCGCAGTCCCTGCCCCAGGTTTCCCAGGTGGGGAGGGCAAGCTTGCTCCTGGCTCCTTTACCTTCCAGAACATGAAACTGACGGGATCCACTACGGTGGGCTGGATGATCTCTCGCCCAGGGAAGATGCCCCAAGTGACAGCGTTCGGCTGTAGCCCAGGGGCGTTGGTGATGTTTTCACCCTGAGGGCACGTGGGGTGGGGGTAAGAACCGGGCCAAGGACAACTGGAGTCCCACTGCCTGGACAGCCTTGAGTCACTGGGGTGGTCTGTGCCTCCACTCCTGGCCTCCACTCTCCCTGTGCCTCTACTCCCAGCCTCCACTCCCTGTGCCTCCACTCCCAGCCTCCTTTGCCTGCATCTGTGAATGGCATCTCTCCTCACACAAGCCCGGACCTAGAGGCCATCCTGGCTACATCCCCTCTCCTCCCCAAGCACCCCCTGCTCACTGCCTGATCCATTCCCTTTTGTCCAGCCTGCTGCTAGGGCTGTGTTTGGCTTGGGTCACTACAGGGGCCTCTTCTTCAGCCTTCCCAGCTCTAGCCTTCCCCAGTCCCTATCACCTGTCTGACTGTCCACTGTGATTTGCCTAAAATAATGCAGGAACCAAGCCACCCCACTGCTGGAGAAAGCTCCCCTTGCATTTAGGGAAAACAAATTCCAAGCAGGACACCATGACCTCTGCAGGCCCGGCCCCTGCATAACACTCCAGCCTCTTCCTGGCCGTGTTCCCAGTTTCCCAGAAACCCCAGAGCTCACTGCCCCTGCCTGTCCCCTGCCTGTCCTCTGCCCTGTCCCGGGAATACCCTTCTTTCCTGTTGCCCAATTCCTCTTTGTCCTTAGCGATTCGCACACATGATGCCTCCGAGAAGGCTGGCCTGGCCTCCCAGGTGAGATGTCCCTCCTCTGGATCCAACAGCATCCCCTCCTGAACTTGATTGTCCCACTTACACTGGCTGGTGCTCACACAGTGATCTGCCTTCCTCACTAGGCTGGAAGCTCCTTAAGAGCAGGGCCTGGTTCTGCCTGTGTCAGTCTGGCACGACGCCTAGCCCAGGCTGGCTGCTGGGTGTTTGCTGAATGAAGGGCCTGGTGCTCTGCGGGAACCCCGGGCCTGACCTACCTTCACATTGACAAGGTGGTAATTAACCCGGAGCTCGTACTTCTTCAGCACCTGCAGAAGCGCTTCCACTGTCTCACGGGAAGTGAAGAACTCTAAGTAGGCCTGTGGGGGCGACAGGTGCCTGTCACCAACCCTACCCCCCGCCAGACGCCCTTTCGCAGACACCTAAGGTATCAGGACTAGTGATGGCCGTGTGGGCGGCATAATGAACCGTGACGTCATTATTAACAGGTACGTAGGCAAAGGGTGAGGGGAGTGGGGAGGTGAGTTCCTCAGTCTGGACAGGTCTCAGGGCTATCGGCCACTCCTCTCCCAATCAGGCAGGGAAGCCTCCAGAGAGAAGCCATTTCTGAACAGCAGCAACTGGTGTGACAAGTTGAGTCATGGGAGAGAAGCCTGACACATGCCATCCTCCCCAATCACTGCAAGGTGACAAGGACGTGGAGGTCCTCTCTAGGACCAGTGTCTATCAGGGATAGAGCTGGGTTTACTCAAACTCATTTGCTAGAATGCTCCTAATACTGGAGGCTGGGCACAGCGATCCCAGACGAGGAAAGTGGGTTGGGGGAAGCTGAGCACGTGGGCTACTCTGACAGGAAACAGCAGAGCTGGTCATTCAACTCGGGGCTTTCTGACTCCAGAACATAATTTTTTAACTCCAGCAGCCCTGGGAGAAAGGTGTCAGCTCAGGACAGTAGCAGCAGCTGCCTTTCAGGGAGTGCTTCCTGCTCCTCCCATGAGCCAAGCACTTTACATGCTTTGGTAGGTTTCATGCCCAGAACATGAGCTACATCCCATTTTACAGACAAGAAAACCAGGCTCAGAGAGGTCGAGTGATCTGCCTCCATAGGTCTGATTTTTTTTTTTTTTTTTTTTTTTTGAGACAAGGTCTCACTTTGTGGGCCAGGCTGGAGTGCAGTGGTGGAAATCTGGCTTCCTGCAGCCTCCAGCTCTCGTACTCAAGCAATCCTCTCACTTAGCCCAGGTACCCGGGACTACAGGCGTGTATCACCATGCCCAGTATTTTTTGTAGAGAGAGATTTTGTTGAGGGTATTTTTTGTTTCACCATGTTGCCCAGGCTGATCTCAAACTCCTAGGCTCAAGTGATCCACCCGCCTTGGCTTCCAAAGTGCTGGCCAGGCTCCACGCCCGGCCAGGTCTATCTGACTTAAAGCATCAGCTCCCGTCCGGTCTGATTCATGCTCATTCAAAATTAAGAGCTGAGGAGAGTCAGGCTGCTCTGCCCTAAGCTCTGGGAAACCCCTGGGCACTGGTCAAGTGGGGACACCCCTCTGCCTCCCTACCACACCTTCTGGAAGACATAGCCCCCGCTGGGGCCCCAGCCCACGATGGGGTCGGAGGACGGCTTCCCGTTGATGTTGGGCTGCGAGTTGATGGTGAGGACGCCCTGCCGGTTCACCCGCAGCAGCTCCTCCTTCAGCAGGCTGGTCTCGGCCGCCAGCGGCTCATCGTTCCAGGGCAGGCAAGTCACCTGGGAGAGAGGGTGAGCAGGCCGAGGTGACGATCAGGTTTGGCACCTCGAGTCCTTCTCATGGCCCCTGACAAAGACCCAGCCCGTCTTTGCCTACCGAAGCCCTTCCAGGTGGGGGACCCCCAACTCACCCTTCTCCCTTTGCCGAGGTGCCATCCACAGCAGGGAGAGGAGGGCGTAGGGTGGGGGAGTCACAGCCCCGCAGCCTGGCCTGCAGCTGGGGTTGGGCCAGGGACCCCACCCCCGCATCACTCACTTTGTGGCCATTCCGGTTTGGCTCTCCAGAAAGGTAGTGGACAAAGACTTCGAAGACGCTTTCTTCACTGGCCAGCTCCTCCCCCCACATCTTCAGCAGCTCCTCCCTGGGAGACTTGCTCTTCAGGTAGAAGAGGTAGTAGTTCTTCAGCTCCCCAAAGGCAGGGGAGGAGGAATTGCCCCTGGCAGAGGGGTGCCCAGAGGTCAGAGCACACGCCTGACCTGGGGCTCCTGACAGAAGGCAGTGCCACCACATGCCCAGGAGGCCATTCCTGTAAATCCTGCCCCGACTCCACCCAAGTCAACCACAAGCACGCAAACTCCTTCTGCCCTCTTCTTCCCAAGAACAAAGATGTATTTACAAGGAAGGTCTGCAGGCCCTCACCAGCGGCCATTGGGGAACTCATCCCATTCCTGGGTGCGGTAGATATAACTCTTTGGTCTGGAGGCCCAGAAGATGGGACGTACATCTTCCTCTCGGCGCTTGGGGTGGGCGCTGAGAGCCCAGGGCAGGGGACGCCTGGGTGAGGATGGAGACAGAGAATCGAGACAAGGGATTGTCTAGAGGGAGCTGGAAGCAGGGGAGGACCACGGAGGCTGGGTTCCTCCCTTTCACACCCTCTGAGACTGGCGCCCTTGGTGTGCCCGGCTAGCCATGGCACAGACACCGTCTGTACCACCGTGGGGAGCCAACACTGTAGCCGGGACTGCTCTTGGACCCCTCTCTGGGGATCGCTGGGCCACCGCCCTCACCTGGGGTCCTCAGTCCACAGGCCCAGGCGCTTCAGCACCTCTGTGGTGGCCACCTCGCGGTTGAGGGTGTAGAAGTGGAGGCCTGGCACCAGGCCGCTGGCCAGAAGCTCCCGGCACAGGCACACGGCCAGCTCAATGCCATAGTTGCGGATGGCAGCATCGTTGTCTTTGATGGGCTCGATCACGTCCTTGATCTCCTGTGGCACCTCCAGCTTGGACAGCTTCACAAGCTGCCGAAGGGAGTGGTAGCCCTGTCCAAGACACGAGGTGCTGTGGCGGCCGTCGGTCAGCCCATCTCCCACCCTAAATACTTCTCCCCCTTCCATCCTCCACGCCAGGTGTCCCCAAACTTTTTACACAGGGGGCCAGTTCACTGTCCCTCAGACCGTTGGAGGGCCGCCACATACTGTGCTCCTCTCACTGACCACCAATGAAAGAGGTGCCCCTTCCTGAAGTGCGGCGGGGGGGCCGGATAAATGGCCTCGGGGGGCCGTAGTTTGGGGATGCCTGCTCCACGCCAACCACAGTGTCAGGCAGAGGGACCCAGGAAATCTGATGATATTCCAGGAGCACACCTGGGCTTGGCCTGCTGTTTTCTCCCCCTTTCTCTTTTTTTAGAGACATGTCTCACTGCTTTCAAATGCCTGGGCTCAAGCCATCCTCCCACCTCAGCCTCTCAAGTAGCTGGGACTACAGGCACGTGCCACTAAGCCCAGCCTTGCCACTTTTCACAGAGTACAGCAGCTACCCTAAGCATTCCAGCCTTGGGCTGAGCCAGCCTTTTAGCTGTAGGTGTCTCTGCTGATAACATGCTGTCATCTAACCCAGTTGTTCCCATGCTGCACTGATCATCAGAATCATCTGCCACGCTCAAGAAGTAAAATACAAATTCCCAGGACCTCCCTCGGATTTCCTGAGTCAGAACTTCCAGGGGTGGGACATGGAGATCCACTTTTTGAAAAAACTCATCAAATGGTTCTGATGACAGCCACATTTGGGAAACACCGATTTAACCAGGATTTGTAACGAGAGTTAGAATCCCTGGCCAGGTGCAGTGGCTCACACCCATAGTCCCAGCACTTTGGGAGGCCGAGGTGGGTGGATCACAAGGTCACGAGTTCGAGACCAACCTGGCCAACATGGTGAAACCCCACCTCTACTAAAAATACAAAAATTAGCCGGGCACAGTGACAGGCACCTGTAATCCCAGCTACTTGGGAGGCTGAGGCAGGAAAATTGCTTGAATCTGGAAGGCAGAGGTTGCAGTGAGCCGGGATCGTGCCACGGCACTCTAGCCTGGGCTACAGAGTGAGACTCTGTCTCAAAAACAAACAAACAAAAACAAAGAGAGTTAGAATCCCTTTTGGTGACGCTTGTCAGCCAAAGTACAACAAACCTCTCAAAAGACACTGTTGCTGGGATTTGGGGGGAAATTTAGAAGTAACCAAAATGAGGTAGCCAAGCAATACTGTGCAGGTGCTGGACCTGACATGAGATCCAGGAAGATCTCAGTGAACTCAGCACTCCACCCAGAGCCCCCAGCCTGTGCGAGGACGGCGCGGCGGGAGTGGGGTGGCGGGGGCTGATGAGCCCTCCTGGGCCCCTCACCTGGATGGGAAAGATCCCGGGGAGGATGGGGCAGGTGATGCCTACATCGGTGCATGCCTTCACAAAGCGGAAGAACGTGTCCGCCTCAAAGAAAAGCTGCGTGATGATGAAATCGGCTCCAGCAGACACCTTCTCCTTCAAGTGCTTCACGTCAGCCTCAAAGCTCTCTGCGTCAGGGTGGCCTTTGGGGTACCCTGCCAATAGGGGTGACAGTTGGGTGAGACTGGCCTCCACCTGTTCAAGGCGAGCGATGGAGAGGCCAGAGGGACTGAGCAGAGTCCTCTGCTTTGGGTGCTCTGATCTTACACCTTCCAACAGCACAGCATGGCCTCAACTAAAACAGTGGGTGGCTGGGCTCATGACTGATATGCTTCCAACCCTGGAGATGACTCTTGAGGGCAGTGGCTCAGAGCCCTCCTTCCCAGAGTGGGGGTGGATTGCTCCAAACTCCCACACTGTCCTGCCTTGAGCAGCCAAGCAATTCAGGCCTGCACTTGGTGGCCATGGGAAAGAGAAAATGCTCCAGTTCGCCTTGGTGGACAGCATCTGCTAAGCCTGACTTTTCTCTAGGCACTGGATTAAAACACTGGTTTTAATATAACATTAAATTTACTCAGGAGTCCAAGATAGTGAAAAGCTAGAAACCAAGTCATATAAGGAAGAACTGAAGAAAGTGATGTTTTGTTCAAATAAAAGAGTGGATGGCCGGATACGGTGGCTCACGCCTGTAATCTCAGGAGTTCAAGACCAGCCTGGCCAACATGGTGAAACCTGGTCTCAAATAAAAGTACAAAAATTAGCCAGGCATAGTGGCAGGCACCTGTAATCTCAGCTACTCAGGAGGCTGAGGCAGGAGAATTGCTTGAACTCGGGAGGTGGAGGTTGCAGTAAGCCAAGATCGCACCATTGCACTCGAGCCTGGGTAAGGAGAGTGAAACTCCATCTTAAAAAAAAGAAAGAAAGAAAAAAGAAAAGAAAAGAAAAGAATGAAGAGAATGCAGAAACTCCTTTCAAATGTCCAAAGGTCTGTCCTGGGGAGAAAGAAAGGATCCACCACAGATGAGTTTTTTTGTTTGTTTTTTCAGAGACAGAGTCTTTGCTCTGTCGCCCAGGCTGGAGTGCAGTGGTACGATCACAGCTCACTGCAGCCTTAACTCCTGGGCACAAGCGATCCTCCCACTTCAGCCTCCTGAGTAGCTGGGACTACAGATACATGCTATTACATCCAGCTAATTAAAATTTTTAAAAATTAATTATTTATGTTTTAAAAGATGGGGTCTTGCCATCTGGCCCAGGCTGTTCTGGAACTTCTGGGCTCCAGCAATCCTCCCACCTGGACCTCCCAAAGTGCTGAGATTACAGACACGAGCCACCGCACCCAGCCCCCAGTCCAGTTCTTTATTAGTCATATTCTGTGTTGCTTCTGATGGCAGAACCAGCATCCGGTTCAGAGAGTTGCCTAGAGTACAAGCCACCCACAAAACAATGAGCTCCTGGAGCCTGAAAACACAGGGGCACTGGCTCCCCTTGTGCTGGGGAGGCTAAAGACAGGATTCTGGAATTGCCTGGGAGGTGGGACCAGATGTCCTGTAGGCTCCTTACTGGCTCTGTTAACTGTGACAGCTCCCCTAAATGACTAAACTTACTTGTATCCTTGCTTGGTCAGGGGCAAGGAAGAAGACGATAGGCCTTCCTGAAACTACACGGAGAGGGTTGGTTTCATCAGCCCAAGCCCAGGGCAGAAGAACCGTGAGCCAGGCGGGAAGCCAAGCTGCTTTGCTCTGATAAGGCAATTCTGAAAAAAAAGCGTCATCAAAACTCCGAAACCCAGAAGCAACAAAAATGAATATAAAAACTGTTGTTTCAAGGGGTAAGGGAGTGGGTGATAAAGCACTTGGGCTTCAGGCTTTCAATAACAAAGCTGTTTTTCCAGTAGGAATTTCAGAAACAACAAGGTTTTTAACAGCTAAAACTATAGCTGTACTACCAAACTATCACCGAACAAAGCTAGCATTTGATTACATAAAGATTTTGCTATTTATTTTATTTTTCTATCATGAACAGTAACTGGGTGCTTTCTTTTTAAATTTTTTTGTAAAGACGGGGGTCTCACTCTGTTGCCCAGGCTGGTCTTGATCTCCTGGCCTCATGCAATCCCCCTGCCTCAGTCTCCCGAAGCCCTGGGAACACAGGCATGAGTTACCATGCCCAACAGGCTGGTGTTTTCTAATCCACTGATCTTCATTACCCACTTTATAAGCAAAGCACAAAAGCAATCAGCAACTGTAAGCTCACAGCTTCCCTAGTTGCCAATCAGGATCAGCTAACACTCATCACTGGTGCACGTTCCCTGCTGACTGACTGTATTACAGCTGATACAGCTGATGACAACTGAACAGTAAGATGTGCCTGTTCTCTGACTCTGTATCAGTGCTTCCCAGACTTAGCACATCAACAGCCCTGCTGACACAAGAATGGACACGTCCATGGGGGTTTAAGGACAAGGCCAAGGTCACCCACAACAAGCTAATTTTCTTGAAGCCAAGTTTTTTTGCTTTTTTTTTTTTTTAAATTCACATCACTTGAGACGCTACTCCATAATGTAGCCATGTTTAGCATAAAAATGGTAGGATTTCTCCCAAAATCTTGGCAAAACACTGTCATTCCAGATGTGCCAATCCTGGGACTTCCTGTCCCTGGCGCACACTGCCTGCCTTGCCATACCTGAGCCCCATCTGAGACGCTGTATCAGCTGTAATACAGTCAGTCCCAGCCTTCAGCTTCAAGGATGGGAGAGAGTCCAATCTACCCATTTCTGTTGGTGAACCTGGCCTTGTCGCTGTAGCCAATGGAACCAGAGTGGAGCCCATAGATTCTCTCCTGGGAATTTGGAACGAACGCCCATCCATTAGCCTGGGAGACTGGGTGGAACGGACATTGTACACTCAGGAGCAGGCCAGTTGTGTGGGAAAGCATGGGCATCAGGTCTCCCAGACGAAGCACAGATATGCAGTGGGAAGTGGAGATGGGGGACCCTGTGGCCCCCAAGGGAATGAGGGGGTCCTTGCTTTCTGACCTCTTCCAGTGCCTTGTGAGGTCTGGGTCCATTTCCTGACCTTGGGTTCCCTGCCCTCTGGAGTCCTATTAGTAAATATCCCTCTTTTGTGGATTTCTTTTATTTATTTATTTATTTTGAGATGGAGTCTTGCTCTGTCACTGAGGCTGGAGTTCAGTGGCATGATCTCCATATACAGCAACCTCTGCCTCCTGGGTCCAAGAGATTCTCCTGTCTCAGCCATCCGAGTAGCTGGGACTACAAATGTGCACCACCAGGCCCAGCTAACTTTTGTGTTTTTAGTAGAGACGGGGTTTTGCCATGTTGGCCAGGCCGGTCTCAAACTCCTGACCTCAGGTGATCTGCCTGCCTTGGCCTCCCATAATGCTGGGATTACAGGAATGAGCCACTGTGCCCGGCCCCCTCTTTTGTTTTAAAGAAAAGAACAGGGCTGAGAAGCAGGCTATGGGCACAGCCAGGCAGAGGAACAAAAAACAAGTGGTCGGTGGTGGCAGGCCCAGGAGGGGAGTGGGTGATACAAGAGCAAGGACATGGTGCAATTCACCCGATATGTCCTTCATCAGGCATGGCCCCACAGGTGCACCTGATCGCTGTGTCCTGAACTGAACACTGACAGGTTCTCTGGGCATCTCAGCCTGCCTCACTCCATCTCTGTACCGGGATGATCCAGCCACTCACCTGCCACACAGATGTCAAAGTAGTCACCAAACTCACTTCGGATGTGCTTCACCAGGTCCACCGCGTGGTTGAAGCCTCCCTCCTCCTCTTCCCACTGGTCACCGGTAGGGTCTGCAGAGTTGGTGGAGGTCATGGTCACTGGGTCTCAACCAACCTCCAGAGAAGCTTTCTGTTCCCTCTACCTAGCCCTGGCACCCAGGACTGCGAGTTCCCGGAAGGCAGAAACTTCCTATTATTTAAGTTGGTCTCTTCCCTTTCTAGCACTTGGTAGACAGCAGGAGGGAAGAGAGCGGCCCACCAGTACAATATTCCCTGCGCGCTGACCTGTGCAGGTGGAGAACAGGAGACCACCTCTGCTCCTCGCTGTGCCTGGAGGATTGGAGAGCCCTTCCCTACTTCCACCTGGGCACGCTCGCCACCCTCTCCCATCCCACGGCCTTGGGGCTCCTGCCTCCTGGGAGAATTTTCTACTCATCTCAAGTGAAGGGGTCTTGTAGTGGGGAGCCCGACGCCACAGGCTCCCACCCTTCAGGCTCCCTCTTCCCATTCTTGGGTGGCCTGATGACAGCAGGCACCAGAAGGATAACCAGCTATTCTCACTCCTGGACAAAAGCCAGAATGGCACTCTGCAATTGGGCCAAGTGCTGGGTGCAGCCAGCAATCGATGAAGCTGCGTAGGCAGGGCAGAGGGTTATCAGGCAGTGACTGCATTCGCAACAGAACTCCTACGTCGGGGTCAAGAGGTGAAAGAGGTGGCTGCTGCTGTATGGTGCCCAGGGTGACTCACTACCCACGATGCCTACTGACACTACTGGTGGGGATGGGACCCTGTGCATCCTCAGTGGGGACCCAGGGAGAAGTAAAGGACGTTTCAGGGACCCAAGTGGCTTTTGGGGAAGCCAGAACCCAGCGTGTGGGGCAGTGCTGGCTCCATACCTCCCCGCAGTGCCAAGATGTTCTTCAGGCCCAGCTGCTTGGCTTTGTGCAGATGGCCCGTGATCTCCTCCAGGCGCTGATGGCAGCAGGTCATGTGCAGGATGGTCTCCAGGCCACAGTAGTTCACGGCGGTGCTGGCGATCATCATGGAGGAGGTCTCCTTGTCTGAGCCAGGGTCACCTGCTGGATGCCAGGTCACATCTATGAAGAGGGGGCCTCCTGCCGCCATCCGGTCAAACCTGTAGGGGGTTTGTTTCTGAAGAGAGGTTCCAGCGAATATACCACCCCTCACTGCCTTCCTATGGGGCCTAGGAGTTAGAGAAGCATAAATGAAGGCTGGAGACAGACCAATCAGTGTTCAAATCCTGGCTTTGCTACTTACAGATGTGTTATCTTGGGTAAATTACTTAATCTCTGTGAGTTCTGTTTCCTTATTTATAAGATACAGCAGATAATAGCACCCACTTCATAATAACACTAGGAGGCTGGGTGCAGTGGCTTACGCCTGCAGTCCCAGCATAGGCATGAGTCACTGGGACTACATTTTGGGAGGCCAAGGAGGGCAGATCACTTGAGGTCAGGAGTTCAAGACCAGCCTGGCCAACATGGTGAAATCCCAACTCTACTAAAAATACAAAAAATAGCTGGGCATGGTGGCGGGCACCTGTAATCACAACTACTTAGGAGGAGGCTGAGGCAGGAGAATCACTTGAATTGGGAGGCAGAGGTTGCAATGAGCCGAAATCACACCCCTGTACTCCAGCCTGGGCCACAGATATCTCAAAAAAACAAACAAAGCAGCAGCGACAACAAAAACCATGACAGTAGGAGAATATGACAGCAGCTAGTTCCACAGCACTTAGAACAGTGCCTGGTGTACAAACCGAACACTCAGTAAATGTGAGGCGCCATTATGATCCCTATTACGGAGGTAATACACAACAACAGCGCCACCATTTTGTGTGAGAGCAGCACTTCAGACTCTTCCCAGGACTCGCCTGTTTATTATCTCGGGTGAATTAAGACATCATAGCTGAGAGTTAGGGGAATCCTAACTGCTTCAAGCACAGCCTCGCTGTAGGAACAGTTAGAAAGACGGCCGGCAGACTCACGTTTCTTTCATGTCACCGCCCCCACCCAGCCCTGTGCAGCAGCTCACACTTGTGCAGACCAAGACCAAGTTCCAAAAGAAGACCTGAAGGCCTGGATGTTTGTGGTACAAGCTATCGCAGTGTGTTTAAACATCCCTGTGCATTTAAACTTCAAAATCTTAGAAGCGACACGTGAAAAGTACAAACAGTAAAAGGCATAAACTTTTAAAAAGGAATTGAAAGTCATGAAGTGCTAACGTAATTTGGTTGGCATTTCTAGATTTCAAGAAACATAATCCAAATTCCTAACTTGCTGAAAACATGCTCACTGCTTTGTGACTTCCTAAACTGCACTCGTGATCCAGCCCCCCAAGGTCCACCAAAGAATCTAGTTTGAGAATTATTTTTAACCCATTGAAGAGTGTGTCTAAAATACCCTTGACACTGTGGAGGGACTTTTACAGGCAATGGAGAAGTTGCAGATCAGATGACCCACTCTGCCTTCTCCTTCCTGACCCCTCGGCTGCTTTTCTCTGCCAGGTTAAAGGGCAGCCCAGCCTCAGGGCTGACAGTTCGCTCCCCAGGCACCACCACCCCTCTGTCCCCACCTTAACCTTGCATCAATTTACCTTGAGATGAGGTTGACAGCTCCCTCAGCAGTTCGAGGAGGGAAGAATTCCAAGGAGAACCACTTGTCACCAGATTCCATGCGCCGCCTCATCTTCTCCAGGAGCCTCTCATGCCGATCAGGGTCCAGGCCCGGGGTGGAACATCTCGAACTGTCTTTGGAGCTCTCGCTGCCACTGCTGGCACTTCCCTCCAAGCAGGGGTTCAGGCTGCCGTTTCCTCTGGCTTCGTTCACCATTGCCAGGTTCCTGCTGCACGGGGTGGGGCAGGGAGCATCAGGGGGTGGGCAGCCACACTCCAGGCACATCGAGGTGCCTGAGTACCAGGTTCAAGAAGGAGGTGCTGTATTTCCATACAGGAAGAAGGCCAAAAAAGGTGATACTGCCCCCTCCCAGTGGTTCCATGCTCCTCAGCTACGGCTGTTAGGGCCGCCTCACTCAAAGCCTTGCTCTCCGCTGCTGCCAGGCTCCTTGCATGCAAGGCAGCCCCCACCCGGCACTACAACATACTCCTCGGTGACAGCTACCTGATGGAAGGTGGCACAGAGAACCTCACGCTGCCGGCCTGCGAGGCCCGTATTCCTAGCGAGGGGCAGTAATGCCCAGCTGGGAGGACCCTGGCTTTTCGATGGTCCATCTCTGCCAGCTCAGGCCCACAGTGAGTGGGGAGGGAACAGAGGCACCTTCCCCAGCGGGTGTGTTCAACTGGGCGGAGCTGTGACAAAGGAAGGGGGTTGAGCTAGAGCCAGCGCAAGGGGGCGGGGTAAGGCTTCCAGGCAAGGAGGGAGGGCTGAGGTTCTAGTAAGGGAAGGCAGACGGAAGGAGGGGGAAGGAGGGGCAGAGACTGCATGGGTTGGTGGAGATGAGGCCAACAGGCATTCAGGGATACCGGATCACTTTCCCGAGAAGGAACTGCTCCTGCTGGCTGGCTTTGCCTGGAACATCTGTTACTTGGAACGGTTTGTGTGCAGGATGGAAGGGGTGAGGGCTTGACTACGCAGCCAAATTTCTCCTAAGTTTGTGCTACTCCAAAAAGACCATGTCATGGGTTAGAACTGGACACTGGTCATGTTTCAAAAATAGCCAGACCCCAGTTCAGTTAAGGGCAAGAATTTATGTCCAACTCAGAACAAAAGCTGCCCCATCTGTGCTTGCCTTGCAAGCGGGTCTTCTTACACACCACTGAATTCAATTAAAATCACCACAGTGATCCAGCTACTGGGGAGGCTGAGGCAGAAGGATCACCTGAGTTCAAGGCCAGCCTGGGCAACATGAGACTCATTCTCTTAAAAAACAAAAACACACCTGTAAGCCCAGTATTTTGGGAGGCCAAGGCGGGGGATCACCTGAGGCCAAGAGTTTGACACCAGCCTGGTCAACATGGTAAAACACCGGCTCTACTAAAAATATAAAAATTAGCCAGGTGTGGTGGTGGACGCCTGTAATCCCAGCTACTCAGGAGGCTGAGGCAGGAGAATCGCTTGAACCTGGGAGGCAGAGGTTACAGCGAGCTGAGACAGCGCCACTGCACTCCAGCCTGGGCAACAAGAGCGAAACTCCGTCTCAAAAAAAAAAAAAAAAAAAAAAAAATCACAGCCGCCAGGGCAGCCAGAGCCAGGCCAACAGAGGGCATAGTGCCATCTGGTAGTCTGTTAAAGAAAATAAACACTTAAAAACAAACAAAATGTGCACAGCAATAGGCAAACACAGTAGTGAAATCGGTGTGTGGTGATACGGCGTGAGAGAGAGACGACCAGGTCAGGTTCATTTCTTTCAGACTGTCACCACTAAGCCCTTGTACCTAACCATTTGGGGTCTTAGACTCTTTCGAGAATCGGATTAAATTCACTGCTCCCCTCCCCTGAAACACACACACAGGTGCTCAGAGTACACATGGATGCATCCAAAGACAAGGAGCTGATTCCAGACTGAGAACCCTGGGCCAGTGCTTTCTTCTCCTAGAGCTTCTCTCTGATTCTGACCTCTAACTCCAGATTCTCAGTGGGGATGGCAGTGAGGAGTGAGGAACGGGGGTAACAGCAAGAGCAGCCAGTTGGCCTTTTTCCAGCGCTTGAAGGAGCGCCTCATTAACTGCCTGCTGGAACAGAACCTACAGTGGGAGGAGGCTGAACCACCTGCAAACCCTCTGATCTTCAAAGACTTATTGCATTCCTGTACATGCTAGGCACGTGCCATATTTGTAAGCCAACACCCACGATTTATCCGTTTTCAGCTGGACTCCCATAGCACCCTAGGTTGTAACTGCGGGTTAGCAGGCCTGTCTCCTGTCTCTCCCCCCAGTTCCCTGAGACCAGGACCGTGTCCTGCCTGGGGTATCTCCAGTGTTTGGCACACGGTGATAACCAACATTCACTGAGCGCCAACGGGCCAGGTGCTGCCACTCTCAAAATAAGCCTCTGCCATCCTAGTCTGTGCTAAGCACCAGGATACCAAGCCCAAGACTCCCAGAAGGGTCCCGGCGGAATCCCGTGCGCAGCGGGACGCAGTGGGCGTCAGGGACCGCAGTGCCCCGGGCCCAGCGCTCTTCTCCAGGTACTCGTCGGGGAGACAGGTTTAAAAGGCAGGAGCCAGAAGCCGTCCGGCGCCCGGGTGGCCGAGAATCGAGTCACCGGGTCACTGGGTCACCAATGAGGGTGGGGACACAGGCTCGGGCTGGTCAGCGGGGCGGGATCGTCACCCCTGGCTCAAGGGCCCCTCAGTACAGGCAGAGAGCCAAAGTGAGTCTTCGCCTAAAGGTTGGAGGTCACTGATTACCCTAGTCCCGAGAAGCGTGCGCGGAGGGGGCGGCAGCTCCCGCAAGAAGAGGGGCGGGCCGGTCTCCAGCGCTCCCCGCCCACAAGCACGTCCTGGCCCCCGAGACAGTTCGCCGGCTCCAAGATCTTCCTCCCGGCTGCCCGGGCCTCGCGGTCACTCACCCTCCAGTCCCGGGTGACTCAGAACGCTCGCCCGCCGGCCGCAGCCCGGTGGCCGTTGAGGGGCGGGGAACGCAGTGGAGGGGAGCGGCGCAGGTGTCGGGTTGCTGGCGAGGCGGGACTACAGGGCGGAAACCACCCTTGCGGGCGACCGGAAGCCCCGCCTCCAACATGGCCGCCCCCACGGGTCTCGTTGGAGGCCATGCCTTTACCGTCATGTGACGCGAGCCGTCGCCCCACCCGTCTGCAGCCACTCCCGGTCTCAGTCTCAGAGCTCCAGAGGGCCACGTGACCGTCCGGGGCCAGTCACGTGAGGCGCGGATCCTGGGTGGGAGGGGGTTGTCAGAGGGGTCCAGAGTGGCAGTAAAGAAGGAAGATGGCGGGGTGCAGGGGGTCTCTGTGCTGCTGCTGCAGGTGGTGCTGCTGCTGCGGTGAGCGTGAGACCCGCACCCCCGAGGAGCTGGTAAGTAGCGGGCGGAGCCGGGCTGGGGAGGGGGCAGTTGCTAAGGGACTGCGAGAGGCGTTGCCGGGGGTGGGGCCGGGCCGATTTGGGCCCGCAGGTGGCAGCCGGTGGGGCCTGGGGACCGCAGCCCGGGCTCTCGAAGCGTCCGCCCTGCTTGACGTGCCCAACTCTGGGGTCTTTTCTTATAACCCCTCCCGGAATCTGAGGGAGGGAGAATCCAGGTCAGCTCCAGTTAATCCCACCCATGTTTCCTTTTTTTTCCATCTGAAAAGAGTTTTGAAGGAAACAAGCGTTTTCAGAATGAGCTTCTTCACAGGCTTTTGTGCTTATCCTGCGGCTGTTTTAGCTTCTCCAGCCCTTTCTCACTCTATCCCTCACCCTTTCTGGGTCACTGACAGTCCAGCTTCCCACTGCAAAGCATCCTGGGAAAACTTGAGTTGTGTTCCCAGAGTTGACAAGTCCCTTCTGATTTCACATACGTCACACTGTCAGATGGAACCTGAGTTTTTCCCTCCTCTTCAGCTGACATCGGACATCTTTGGGTGTCCTGAAGAGGAGGGTAGCTGTTTGGAGACTCTTATCAGTGGAAATGAAGAGCTCCGCTGATGGCTGTAGATCCTCACCCCCAAAAGGTTTTTTTGAGGGCTGGTTCTTATTGGAACCAGATGATATAGAAGCTAGCCACTGATTTCAGTAAATACCTTGTTGCCGTCTTAACCACTAAAAAGGGCTCCTTCTGCGGATCTATTTTTCTAGACCATCCTTGGAGAAACACAGGAGGAGGAGGATGAGATTCTTCCAAGGAAAGACTATGAGGTGAGTTCCTTTGATACTGCTTGGGTGACTAACGATGTAGCAGGTTCCAAAAAATGGCCTGGTCACTTTAGCCGAAGCATTATGATTCCAACCAGAGATGCCCTTTGACCTTCTATCCTAGGGAGTGAATGGGTAAGGGATAATTCCTTCCGTAAAAGAGACTGTTTAACAAGCCTTTTTCTCACCTTAACCCCAAAACAAGGTCCGGCGTTTTTACACATTTATGAATCTCTGGCACCTTAACCTGGAGAGAGTATGTATTTGCCATTAAACTGCTTTTATAGTTTACAGAGAAACCTAGAGTGAAAGGTACTGACAGTATGTGCTCCTAACAGGTGTGTGCTCATAAACTGTTAAGGAGGCCTTGCTTCTCTTCTAAAAGAGCTTACTTTTTAGATATTTTCTTTTTCTTTGAAATGGAGTTTCACTCTTGTTGCCCAGGTTGGACTGCAATGGCGCAATCTCAGCTAACCGCAACCTCCGCCTCTGGGTTCACGCGATTCTCCTGCCTCAGACTCCTGAGTAGCAGGTTTAAAGGCATGCACCACCTTGTCCGGCTAATTTTGTATTTTTAGTAGAGATGGGGTTTCTCCATGTTAGTCAGGCTGGTCTTGAACTCCCGACCTCAGGTGATCCGCCCACCTCGGCCTCCCAAAGTGCTGGGATTACAGGTGTAAGCCACCTCGCTTGGCCTTTTGTTGTTTGTTTCTGAGACAAGAGTCTTGCTCTGCCACCCAGGCTGGAGTGCAATGGCGCAGTCTCTGCTCACTGCAACCTTCACCTCCCAGGTCAAGCAATTCTCCTGCCTTAGCCTCCTAAGTAGCTGGGATTACAGGTGGCACCACCACACCTGGCTAGTTTTTATATTTGTAGTAGAGGTGGGGTTGCACCACGTTGACCACACTGGTCTCGAACTCTTGACTTCAGGTGATCCACCCATCTCAGCCTCCGAAAGTGCTGAGATTAGAGGCATGAGCCACTGCACTCGGCCAAGTTTTCAGATTATTTTCTTGCTCAAGCAGCTTCTCTTTGACTGTTCCTGATTGAAGTTCCAACTTTCATGTATGGAGGATTCTTAGAGTGTGTGTTTTTACTAAAGCCAGCACTGCTGGGGTGAAACAACATGCATGATTTTTTATTATTCTTTTTTTTTTTTGAGATGGAGTCTTGCCCTGTCACCCAGGCTGGAGTACAATGGCACGATCTCAGCTCACTGCATCCTCTGCCTCCTGGGTTCAAGCCATTCTGCCTCAGCCTTGAGTAGCTGGGATTACAGGCACACACCACTGTGCCCGGCTCATTTTTGTATTTTTAATGGAGATGGGGTTTCACTGTGTTGGTCAGGCTGGTCTTAAACTCCTGACCTCGTGATCCACCTGCCTCAGCCTCCCAAAGTGCTGGGATTACAGACGTGAGCCACTGAGCCCAGCCTTCAATTCTTAAAAACTATGTACTTAAAGAAGGTAGAGAGAAGCCTATGACCCCATTCATGAAAAGATGACTGTTAACACCTTACTAAATATCTTTTTAAACCCTTACCCATGTTTTGATACACATACTTTTTTTAATGCATGCTGTTTTTAAGTAACAAAAATGAAATTAGCTGGGCATGGTGGCGGGTGCCTGTAATCCCAGCTACTCAGGAGGCTGAGGCAGGAGAATTGCCTGAACCCAGGAGGCGGAGGTTGCGGTGAGCCGAGATTGCGCCACTGCACTCCAGCCTGGGTAACAAGAGCGAAACTCCGTCTCAAAAAAAAAAAAAAAAAAAAAAAAATGAGATTCCACTAAATCAACTATTTTAACCTGTCCACTCACTCCCTTTAGTACGCTTTTTGTATCACTAGGTAATTTTCCATAGTCTTTTAAAACAGGAATAGTATTTTATTGTGCCACAATTTATTTACTCTGTCTTGAGTTTCTTCTGACTTTTCTGTATCATGAACTGCATAGTGGTGGGCATCCATCTATCCACCCATCCTTTCCTGTCCATGCTTAATTGCTTCTACTTCTTGGAACTAATCATGTGTATGTCTAATGCCTTTTAAAAATGCCATATGGGGCCGGGCACAGTGGCTCACACCTGTAGTCCCAGCACTTTGGGAGGCCAAGACTGGTCAATCACCTGAAGTCAGGAACAGCCTGGCAAACATGGCAAAACCCCATCTCTATGAAAAAACAAAAATTAGGTGGGCGTGGTGGCATGCGCCAGTAATCCCAGCTACTAAGGAGGCTGAGGTGAGAGAATTGCTTGAATCCGGGAGGCAGAGGTTGCCGTAAGCCGAGGTTGTGCCACTGCACTCCAACCTGGGCAACAGAGCAAAATTCTGTCTCAAAAAAAAAGTCATATGGACTTGAAAAACCCAATATACTAGACAATAACATACCCAAGCTAACTTTCTTTTTAATATTTCGTTTTACTTTTACTGTAGAATTTAATGTCAACATTAGGATTTGTGGTGTAGCACTTTTTAAACTTTTATTATGAAGGATTTCAATTATATGCAAAAACAGAGAGAATAATCTGCTGAAACCCCTTGTCCTCATCACACAGCTTCCACAGTGATTCAGCTCAAGCGCAGTCTTCTTTTGTCTCTGCTTTCATTATTCACTTCTCCCTTCCCATATTATTATTATATTTTTATTATGTGTGTGTATATGTGCATGTGTGTGTGTATTTTAAAGTAAAGACAATCTCCCTATGTTGCCCAGGCTGGTGTCGAACTCCTTGACACCAGCAATCCTCTCCTGTCAGCCTACCAAAGTTCTGGGATTACAGTAATGACCTACCATACCTGGCTGCCCTTCCCATTTTATTTTGAAGGAAATTCCATACATCATATTATTTCGCACATAATTCAATATGCATCTCTAATGGATAAGGACTTTTAAAAAGCATAACCCAATACTATTACCACATCTAAAAAAATAGCAATTTCTTGATATCAAATATCTACTGTCCAGATTTTCCAGTTTTCTTGTAAATGTTATATGTATTTTAACTTTGTTTGAATCAGGTTCCAAAAATGATCCTTTTGTATTTGTTTAATAGATTTGTTAAATCCCTTTTAATCTGTAGGTTCTTACTTCTTTTTTTTTTTCTTCTTTGTAAGTTGACAACATAATTAGGACCCTGGGATTTTCTACTGTCTGGATTTTGCCATTTGGACCTGTTTGTACAGTTGAATGTGCTACTCTGATGGGACTGCTTTGAATGAACCAAAATGCACTGTATCCACTGCTGTGTTTTCTTCTATTTCTTTCTTCTTTTTCTTTTTTTTTTGAGATGGAATCTCACTCTTGTAACCCAGGCTGGAGTGCAATGGCTTGATCTCTGCTCACTGCAACTTCCACCTTGCCTTGGGTTCAAGCGATTCTCTTGCCTCAGCCTCCCAAGTAGCTGGGATTACAGCTGCCCGCCACCACACCCGGCTAATTTTTGTATTTTTAGTAGAGATGGGGTTTCACCATGTTGGCCAGGCTGATCTTGAACTCCTGACCTCAGGCAGTCTGCCTGCTTTGGCCTCCGAAAGTGTTGGGATTACAGGCCTGAGCCACCATGACTGGCCATTTTCTTCTTTTTTACAAGTGTTTGTTTCCTTGTACAGAGTTGGGAGGTTTGCAGGAATTCGTATAAGATAATCTGTATTGTTCTATCACCTTGTGCTCCCTCACTGAACCCTTTTATATCATTGTGACTGTATCACCAGGACTGAGACTGTCTTACAGCCTTTATCCTATTTCTAGGAGCTCACCAAGGCTTCCCCATCATACTGTTACCCAGGCTCCTTCACTCCTTCTACTAAATTGCACATACATTTGTAATGCACGTGCCTTCAGCTGATAGTCACATTCATGTAAATTTTTGTTGTTTTTTGAGACAGAGTCCTACTCTGTCTCCCAGGCTGGAATGCAGTGGTGCAGTCTCAGCTAACTGCCCCCTCCACCCCCATGAGTTCAAGCTATTTTCCTACCTCAGCCTCCCGAGTAGCTGGGACTACAGGCATACACCACCACTCATGGTTAATTTTTGTATTTTTAGTATAGACAGGGTTTCACCATGTTGGCCAGGCTAGTCTCAAACTCCTGACCTCAGGTGATCCACCTACCTCAGCCTCCCAGAGTGCTGGGATTACAGGTGTGAGCCACTGCACCCGGCTATATTCATGTGCATTTCACGGGTTAACGTTATTTTCATGTTAGTCATTAATATTTCTCAACCATCTTCAAGTATGAGCTTCTTGAGAGCATTTGCTTTGTGTAAAAGCAAATTCATTCAGGCACTTAATCAGAAAAGTCTGGATTTTATTTATGAAATAAATCAACTTTATTTTTTGTTGATTTATTAAATAAAGTATAATAAAGGGGGTGAGTGGGACAAAAAGAATTGATTTAGTGGAATCTCATTTTTGTTACTTAAAAAAACATGTATTAAAAGCATGTATATAAAAACGTGGATTAGGACGTAGAAAGATATTTAGTAAGGTATTAATAGTCATATTTTTATAAATGGGGTTATAGGCCTTTCACTACCTTCTTTGATAGTCAGTCAACTAGAAAACGCTTCTGTTGAATATCTTTCTAAAGCGTGCCCCTTCTCCTTCCTGTCTCAGGAAGAGTTCATTGCATATATTTGACTCTTTCTTTGATAAATTGGGGGCTTATGTTAGAATCCCATTTTGACATCCATTCTGATTATAGGTGGTTTGAATAATAATAACTTTCTGTGAGATGTGCCATTACAAACAGGAATGTTTTCA